CATTTACAGCGACCACAGGAACGTTGATGAGAAATCAATATGGAAATATTAGTGGGTCCTAAACAAAGCTCGTTAACCGAAGTTTCCAGAGAGCCAACGATCAAGAACATGTAAGTCTGGAAAATGACCTCGCCCCCCCTGCTGCCCTCTGGCTGGCCCTCTTCTCTGAACATAATAAACCACACTCAGTTCTGCCAACGCTTGAGCCTTAAGGCAGATGATGCTCAAAAAGCAACTTAAACATAATTTTAAATATTTCATATACTTTTACTCTAAAAATATATAAAACACTTTGGAAAATAGAGAACAGAAAACTAAAAATATCCAGAGTTTACTCATCTGAGGCTTTTTCATGTGTTTCCTGTGCATTTATTCCCCCACTTTATGGGATTTGTTTTCTATTTTATACAGTTGTAAATATGACGTACAAGCAGTTTTATTTTATTTATTTATCTTAAACCCTCGCCCGAGGATATTTTTTCCATTGGAAAGGAGAGAGAGAGAGAGAAACACTGATGTGAGAGAGACACGGAGATTGGTTGCCTCCCACACACGCCCCGCCGGGGATGGAGCCTGCAACCGAGGTACATGCCCTTGGCCAGAATCGAACATGGGACCCTTCAGTCCCCAGGCCGACGCTCTACCCCCCCTGAGCCAAACCAGCCAGGGCCACACATGCAGTTTTATACAATGCTTTTTTTCTCACTCATTTTATAGTAAGCGTTTAAAGATATTACATCATTTTCAAAGCCAGAATTTTCAGTGGCTCCATCAGCTTTCTGGACTTGGATATACAGCCTATTTTGCTTAGTCGTTCACTCAATTCTGGAATTTTACATTGTTCTGGATGTTTTATCCCCTATAAACAGTGCTGCATGAACACTGTTGCATAGCTTGTCCGTGTTTACGAGCGGGTCTTTCAGGTAACAATAAACCACTGAGAGCTTCCTCTATCGGACACTGGGCTAGTGTGCATGAATTATCTCAGTTAATCTTTATAAAAAACCCGACGGGTAGGTCATTTCATTATCCCCCCAACCAGGAAACAAGCACCACTGGACGTGTTTCCTTGAATGAGGTGAGTGGCAGAGCCCGAGCGAACCCAGGAAGCCTGGAGCCTACTTTCATTCTCAGAAGTGTAATTCCTGGGTCAAAGATTTATTATTAACAGGTTTCCCCAAAGGAAGACCTTTAAAAAACAAGCAGCCCAGCTCCTTCCAAA